ATATCAGATAATCACACAAATAAATATAATATTCACAACCTGTACTAAGTACTTTCACAGATCCATTATGACACAGGAGTCTAATGGGGAACTAGTCTTGAATAGGAGACAGGGAAGTGGCCCTGGGGAATGTGTAATACTTGAAATCTGAAGAACGAGTAGGAGTTAACAACTTAAGCAGGACTTGGAAGGAGGGAAGGTCCAGAGCATGGCGTTAGAGAAATAGGCATTGAGAATTTGGATAACAGAGGAGTCCGCTGTGTCTAACCAAGGAGGATGGGCAGCCACTGTTTTTACTCTAGTAGGCAGAATCTGACAAGAGAGTGAAAATAACCTCAGTCAAGCAAATGTAATACAAAATGATCAACTGTGCGGATCTCTTAAGAAGACAGAGGGTTCTTAGAGGTGGGGAGAGAAGAGAAATGTGAAAGTTAATTAGGTGACAGTTTGAATCGTCTAGAAAAAAAAGACTGGAATTATGGTAGTAACAGTGAGAGTAGAATACAAGAAAGGAAGGGATAGATAAGTTTTTTATCAGTGAAAACTGTGCCCATAACTGTGAATGGAATCGTAACTCAAGATTCTTAGCTCGACATGATGTGCATGCCTGTAGTCCCAACTACTCGGGAGGCTGAGATGGGAGGATTGCTTGAACCTGAAAGGTCGAGGCTGCAATGAGCCATGATCTCACCACTGTACTGCAGCCTGGGTGACAGAGCTAGACTCCGTCTCTGGGGGAGGGGCGGAGAAGATTCCTGGTCAGTGGGTTGGAGAGCTGGTTTTCATTTCTAGATCTGTGACTTTTGCTAGTTGAGTGACTTTAGGTAATGTGGTAAATTATCTCTACCTTAGTTTTTCCTCTCTGTGAAATAAAAGTAATGATAGTAACAACTTTATGCTATTTTCTGAGAACTATGAAGGCTTATGTTTGTAAACTCTCTAGCACAATGTCTGGAAAATTTCACATGTTCAATACATCTAGTTATTACTAATTATAAGAGGTAATAATTTACTATTGTAAATAAATTAAAATACTGAGGTTTGGTAGAGGAAAGGACAGAGGAGTAATGGGAAAGAATCGTTCTTCAGTCTGTGTAAGGGTTTCCTTTATGTTCTTAGTTAGGGTCTCTTCTCTAAACCCACTGCCCCATAACTCCAAGCTATCAAGTCCTTGAGCACAGGGACACTGCCATCCACTTCCCACCACTTAAGAGGCAGTGCCTGGCTCCAAAGTGATGGTTTTTGCTTAGTGATGCTATTTGAAGCTGTAGGAGGGCATGAAATTGCCAAATTAAAGAATGAAGAGCTTGGCCATGGGAAACACCTGTATTTATTTACAGTGGAGAGAGAGAGAGGAGAGAGTAGTTGCTGCCAGAAAAACTAGGATAATCAGTCTGTACAGCCCAGGAATGAAGGAGAGTTAGTACTGCAAGCTGCGTCAGAGTCTGGGAGGACAAGGAGACTAGAAGAAAGGACCAGATGGGATGAGAACATTGCCTCTCAGAGACAGTTTCAGGCACGTGTAGGGCAGAACCCAGATTGTGCAGTTAAAATGTAGGTGGTGGTGAGGAAGTGGAAGCACTAGTTGCTGGGTGCATGGATTTCTCTTTCAGGAAGTCAATGGTAAAGGTAAGCAGAAGGAATAATTACTTTTAATACATTGCAGACTTAAGAAAATTTATGATTGTTGTTATGGTTGTTCTTGTGGAGTTGTAGGTATGCCGAATATGTTCACTGCTGCCTCCTTTCAGCCCATGTCTGAGTGTCTCCAACCGTCTTTTGTGCACTCAGACCAAGACCAAGCTATATGTGGTACATTCTGTGAACTACAAACTTTGAAAATGCAGATATGAAGAAAAGAGCAGACAGTTTCCAATAACGGAAATTGAGGAAAGAGTTACAGGGCACCCTGGCACCCTTGTTAGGCTGGGTCCTACAGGCCTACTTTACCGAGACCTGAATACTAATCTCTGTGTAGATAGGTGGGAACAGTCTGACTGAACTGTCTGCTCTTTTCTGCATACCTGCATTTTCAAAGTGTATAGTTCACAGAATGTAACTCATGCAGCTTGGCAGCTTGGTCTTGTCCCGAGTGCCCAGAAGAGGGTTGGAGGCACTCAGACATTAGCTGAATGGAGGCAGCAGTGAACATGCTCACAAGAATGAAAGAGTCTTCATTTCGACTCTTCGCAACTGTCTCCTTGTAATGCACATACATTTTTGATGTTTAACTGGCTTTGATAGTTTTATGATAATTTATGTTTTTGCATGTGGGTGAGTTGGCCAGTGATCACATTGGTTCTTTTTTGTTGTGAATAAATAGTATGTCAAAGTTTTATGCTGTTTCCAAAATGTTATTTAGAATAGAATTTCCTTTGAAGCCACAATAGTCTCTTACTCAAAATATTTATTTAGACCATATTGTTTAAATACGTTTAATTCCCTTAAGGGACAATTGTAGTCTATGTAAATCTGAATTTAAAACAAATAGACCTTCTGGAATTCATAGAAATACAAAATGGATATTCTAGTGTTTAAGTGTTTATATACAAAAGGAGTTGAGGTGTTCCACTGTTTGTATGTTTAGGTACAAAAAGAATAGAATTTGTAAAAAGAAATGATGATCTAAAAAGTTGAATTCCCAAATGTACCAGATGTATAAAGTTATTTAGGAAGACAAAATATGTGAATCATAAGCTAGTTCAGAGTAAGTGAATGAATGATTCAACCAGCAAAAAAAAATAAATACACATAAAAATAAAACAAATACACAGTCTCTTAATTTGCTCTGGTCTTGAATATGGCTGTAATTAAAGTTGACGAAAGAATGCTTTAAAGACAATACAGAATTAGGATATTTTTATAAAATAATTAAATATTATCAAATTAATGATTTAAGTATTTATGTCTTTTATGCTGGAGTTTATATTAACTGTCCTTGAAATATCATCTCATTTTATTGGCCCTCCCTTGATTTTGGTAAAACAGAGGTATTTTTTAAAAAGCATTTATGAAAGCTTTTATTATTGCATTTCATTTGACTTTAAAACAGTTTCCGTATCTGAATTTATAATTAGATAATTTGTGAAGTTCCTTGTTTTTAGTGGAAATGCTGTCCCCTAAGCTCTTTTTATTTTGGTCACAGTACAATGTAATTGTGAGTTCATTAACTAATGAACATGTATTTAAATAAACTGTTTCTAGCTTGGGATGTTCTGATATTTCTCAGTCAATAAATTATTTAAATTGAAATAAGAACTTTTTTTTTCCTTGAGACAGAGTCTCGCTCTGTCACCCAGGCTGGAGTGCAGTGATGTGATCTCAGCTCATTGCAACCTCCGCCTCCCAGGTTCAAGATACTCTCCTGCTTCAGCCTCCTGAGTAGCTGGGACTGGAAGAAATATTTCTCCTTATAGTCTACAAATTTCTTTAATCACTTCTACATACAACAAAGTTTACAACCTAGTTACAGTTGGACTATATGTGGAAGAGAGATCCTGAAATATCAGGGAGATTATACAATTAAATATTTCCCTAGTGTTAGTTAAATAGAAGCACGCATTAAGGATGGGAGTGAAGTAAGAATTGAGTCTACAATGAGGACTCCAACATCTCAAACCAAATAGGCGTCCATAGATTTAATGTTAATTAATAGAAGAGAAGTACTTTACACTTGCCTGATCCAAAACACAGGGAATGGTAGAAGCCTGCTCAGTCCTATTCTCTGTAAATGGAATTTGTCCCAATCACGTTAACAATATCTAAAATACTGCCTATTACAAATGAGACAGTTTATATAAAAATCCAAATGGTTCCAGAAATATGAGCATCTGGAGCTGTGAAAGTGAGCATGGCTTTCAGGCACAGAGCTGCAGTTTCAGGTATCCCCATGCCCACCCCTCCACCCCAGAATCAGTAATCATTGATTGCATCTAAATCTGCAGAGAGATCTTTTCCTGGCAGTTCAGGTAGTTACAGTAGATTGTTAATCTGTGAATGATCAGACTAAATCCCTTCTGTCTTCAGAATTTCCATGCAAATTAGAATTAACTGTATGAGATAAATTTATTAACTGTAGTCTGAGAGCATAGGTCAGCTTCAGCACAATTCTTAAACATAGATTTTTATTCATAAAAAGTTACACTCCATTTATGCTAATTTTCTATGGATTCACTTTATAATATTAACTGGTGAGATGGTTTTTTAAAGTAGTTATAAGGAAATGAAATTTTTCAGTGTGTTTTTTGGTTTTCTACAATATAGTTGTACTATTCCAGATATAAAATATTCACATAAATATTTTTTGTTTCATGTCTGATCTAAAACCAAAATTTAAACTTTCTTGTTGAAATAAGAGGAGGCTTGTTTTGTGTTTTTCAAAACAGGAACGAAAATAGAATTAATAAAGAAAAAATACTCAAGGAATTGGGATGTGATAAACAATAACAGAAATACATTAGGTCTTACTGGGCACAGGTGTGTTTTTAAAATATATTTGAAAGTTTAGCACAACATTTAATTGAAATTCAGCAGAAGAAAAGTAATATTCTAATAATAATATTTGTGTGCCATATTTTACTTTCACAAACATTTCACTTGAATATTAATTTGTTACAATGTATTTTTTGCTTTATTGACAAGTGGGTAAATTTAAGTGGAAATATATATTAGCAGCAATCTACTTTTTCTCTTTTGTATTTGTGATGTTATAAATTCAGTATCTTACAGAATATGTAAGCCTTTATTTTTATTCAAAGTTTCTAACTTAAAGGTTACGATGAATGACCTAAAACATTATATTAGTGATTGAGCTTTGTTTGTTTTCTTCACCTGTTTTTGTAAGAGATTTTGGTGATATCTAAATTTATATTTAAAATTCTCTAGGCCCCTACCATCATAAAGGCTTTAAAAATGGAAGTGGGCCTTATTTACTAAAATGGTGAAAAGAGTGTAGTATCTTTGAACAGATGCTGATCTTTTTTTTCTTCTTTATTTTTCAGGCCATCCGTTGCACACTGGTAAACTGCACGTGTGAATGTTTTCAGCCAGGGAAGATTAACCTGAGGACTTGTGATCAGTGTAAACATGGCTGGGTGGCACATGGTGAGGAAAATCTGGACTTTTCTTCCCATTCTTATTATGCTCCTCTCTCTCTCTCTCTCTCTTTCTCTGTGTGTGTGTGTGTGTGTGTGTGTGTGTGTGTGTTAGAGCGGTCACTGGCCTGGAGAAGAGAGAGGTCAGCTGTGTTCCAGGTGTTAGTTAAGATTCAGCTCATAGGTCTCAAACAGAATATTCTCAGCTCCAAAAAGCAGTGCTAGGCAAGCAGCTCTCAGCAGAAGGCCGAGATGTTTATAGGACATTTGGGCTGTGGGGTTCTTACTGAGCATAGGCGCAGCCAGCAAGCACCAGGCCTGATGGAAACTCAAACATACCACAGTTGGCCTTTCAGGTCCTGGACCTCAGAGGGAAGCTGGCAAATCCTCCTTGCTTGAGAACTCCTCGATGACTGGTCACCCTTGTCATATGTGCTAGGGGCTGAGTTTATCCTTCTAGATGTTAAATGTTGTATGGTCTAAGGTGGACGAGAGAGTGAACGGGAACATTATCTGGCTGGTATCTGAAAATTTAACCTGTAAATGCTCCCTTTCAGTGCGTGTGGGGATTGGAGGTAGTTGAAGTAGGGAGAGTGTGAGCTCTGTGTAGGTGTGGGCTGGGGTGGGGAGACCCCATGCAAAGGACGTGAGTGTTGAGGCTTTTTGCTAGGTGCACAGAGCCGTTCTGTCACTGTGCCTTGACTGAGCATTCAGCATATTCTTGCATATGGTTTATATTTGTTCTGTTTAAGCAAAAGGAGACTTGGAAATAAGCAGACTTTTTTTTTTACACCTCCCAGACTTTAGAATTTGAAAAGATAGGTAATGTTTATAAAAAGAAATCCTGGCTTGAGATTTTTTGAGAGCCCTGGGTATTGGCTCTTAAGTGGGCATATTCTTCATTCCCAAGCAGTGCCAAACATCCAGTGGGTTTTATTTTTATAAATGTCATGTTATTCTAGCAAGATCTGAGGTAACAACACTGGGCCATGCCTTGAAATGCTTTTAATTTATCATGTACCTTGCTAGTGAGGGCATGTGTGATGGAGTTGCGGGGACATTTCAGCCTGAGGAATACCTGGGAAGGAGGATGTGTCCACCATGCAGCCACAGTCCTGTAATCCTTCATGTCCCCAGGGATGAAATGCTTTCCTGCCTTATTAACAACAAGGCCCAAATCAGTAAGAATTCTCAATCCAGTCTTGAACAGCAGACGAGCTGCTGTTACTTTTGCAGTCTCTATGTTGCTACATTCAGTGACTTTGTCTCTCTTCCTGTATTAGTTTGCTAGGGCTGCCATAATAAATACTGCAGTCTGGGTGGCTTAGACAGCAGAAATTTATATCCTCAAAGCTCTGGAGGCTAGAATTCCAAGATCAAAGTGTTGGCAGGGCTGGTTTCATTCTGAGGCCTCTCCTGGTTTGTAGATGGCTGCCCTCACATGGTCTCTTCTCTGTGGGTGCATGCCCTGGTATCTGCAACCTCCACCTCCCGGATTCAAGCGATTCTCCTTCCTCAGCCTTCTCGGTATCTTGGATTATAGGCATGTGCCACCATGCCTGGCTATGTTTTATATTTTTAGTAGAGACAGGATTTCACCAGGTTGGCCAGGATGGTCTTGAACTCCTGACCTTGTGATCCGCTCACCTCGGCCTCCCGGAGTGCTGGGATTACAGGTGTGAATCACTGTGCCCAGCCCCTGGTGTTGTCTTGTGTATACAAATTTCCGCTTGTAAGGACACTGGTCAGATTGATTAGAGCCCACCTTAAGGGTCGCATTTTAACTTAATCACCTCTTTAAAGACCCTATATTTAAAAACAATCACATTCTGAGATCGTAAGTTTATGATTTCAACGTAGGAATTTTGGGGGAACACAGTTAAGCCCATAACACTTCCAAAATATCCTTTTTTCTCTGAAGAAGTATTGATTTTTCTAGGTAATAGGTATAGAGCTCATGTATTAAACCCATCAAGAATCTAAGAGCATTGGAGGCAGTATGGGTGTAGACTGTTCTGAGGTGAAATCCTGGCTCTGCCACTTTATGATATGTTAATATCTTTGGACTTCAGTTTTCTTGTCTGTAAAATAGGACTAATAGTACCTATTTACAGTCGTATTTTGAAAAGTAAAGAGAAAATATTGAAGCCTTTCTAAATAATACATGTTCAAAGTAAAATGGACCATAGATGAGCACTAAAGGGGAGGCCAGTCATTAAACAAAGGGCATTTCATTCATTCACTCTCATTTTGGCCAAAGCCATCTTGTATTGTCATTATCTATCTACTGTGGTAGCCTGTAAGTATAAAAGTTAAGGGTGTCACCAGAGTTTGTCTTATCTATCAGTGTCCATGTGCATATTATGTTAGTAGTGTAAAGGGAAACGCAATGTTTTTTGCTTCTTGAACAATATAAATTATTTCTGTCCAGTGATTGTTTCAAAGACTTTCTGAAGAATGTCATTTTTCACCAAACTTGAATAGGATATTTCTGTTACACCAGACGGTGCTTTTCCTGCTGTATCATTAAAAATTCTAGGTTTCTGGGATATTAATTTTCGTGTTTCTCAGGCCTTAGCAAAATGAATTCTAATTTTTTCCCTTAAAATTATCACCTTGACCTGTCTTTTCCCACAATAGGGAGATATCTGTATACAACTCAAAATACATACACCCAGGCATGCGAATCCCACACTCTCCCCATTCATGAGGGCAAATACGGCAGTGAGGGGTTGGCCTCTAGCCTTGGAGTTGGCATTGGGATGAGAGCACCCACTCTTTTTGCCTCTAGCATTACAACTAATTGCTTCATTCCCTCCCTCTGCACAGAAACCCTGAAATCATGTCTCTAGTTACTTCTGCTCAGAGGTGAAACACAGCATTCTTTCTGGCTGCCTTATACCATGCAGTGTCCTGTGTGTGGGGCAGGGAGGAAGTGACTTGGGTTTTGTAGTGTGATTTTCCTCTGAAAATGCATGGAACAGCAACAAGACTGACTACCAAGATACATTGCCTAGAATGGTTTCATGGTAGTGCTGACTGTATTCTACCTGTTACTGTGTCAATAAAAAAAAGTTAATATCTGCTGCTAAAAAATAACCAAATGCCAAAATCATGTATTCTCTTTAAAATGAAGAATTTTTAGAAATTTGTTGACCTCCTTCCTTGAGTTAATATCTTCCTGTTTTTCCCTTGTTAACAGCAATTTCAGTTTATTCCTAAGATGTTGGATTTCATGGCCCGTTATATACCATATATATGCACATATGTGTGTCTCTATATATGTACACACACATAAACACACTCTCTGTTGACTTAAAGATTGCTTTTAAACCTGCTTCAGTTTTTGAAATTAGATACTTTACAGAAATCTTTAGAAATGTGTTAAAAAAAATTAAAGACCAGGCACGGTGTGTCATACCTGTAATTCTAGCACTTTGTGAGGATGAGGCAGGTGGATCGCTTGAGCCCAGGAGTTCAAGACCAACCTAGACAACATGGCAAAATCTTGTATCTAGAAGAAGTACAAAAACTAGCCTGGTGTGGTTGCATGCGTCCGCAATCCCAGCTACTTTGGAGGGTGTGACAGCGGGGTGGGGGTCGAGGGGTGATTGAGCCCAGGAGGTCGAGGCTGCAGTGAGCTGAGTGAGATCATGCTACTGCATTCCAGTCTGGGTGACAGAGTGAGTCTGTCTCAAAAATAAATAAATAAATAATAAAGAGTTATTAATTCATTATATTGCTGGGTTTTGAAATTATTGATACTAAGAGGGCTGTGTTACTTTTCACAAAATATTTTCTAAAAATCCTTAGCATTATTGAATTAAGGGGGGAAGGAATCTCAGCAGTTCTGAATATCAGTAGGCATTTCCCACTAAATTAATAAAGGATTTCCTACATTACCACCACCCTGCCCCACATTAAGGAATCTTAGCTCTTTCACTCTGATAATAGAAAGCAGGGCTTACTAAATTTAACTTTACTTAAACTTTTTTTTTTTTTTTTTTTTGGTAAAAGATGGCCATACCTACTCTTAGTTGGTGGGCCAGAAATGGCTCAGAGTTTCTAATTTTGTCAAGTCTCTGTAAAAGGACTCCAGCTTACTCCCACTTCATTCACTGAAATACTGTAAGTACTATATTTTTTACTTTCCCTTATTCGCTTTGTCTTCTCTGTGCTTTTCCTTCTTCACCTCAAATGATCTGAGTATGGCTTGAAAAACAGCAACAAAAGTTTTCTGGAAGTTCAACTGTTTTTGGTTCAAAAGTGGCAAAATAAGATTGAGATATCAGGATAAGAGTAGTAATGGGTTCCCTTTTCTGGTGATGTAATTTTTTTTTCCCCTTTTAACCATTTGCCTCCACTCTAGAGAAGTAGTTTGACCATTCACAGAATTGAGACTTCAGCCAATTATTTTACAGAATCTTAAAAATTAGCTGGTACTACTAGAATGCACCCAGCATTGGGTACAGGTGGAAGTGAGTCCTACTTAACTATTCTTCCTTGAAGAATATCTGCTTAAAGCATTACCAATAGGAGTTTGCTCTCTTTGTGAAAAACAGGAGACATTATATAAAGGCTGAGGACTGCTGCACGGAACCATTTTTATTGTTTTATTGCAAATTAGTTTTACTGTCCATAGTTCAGATGAAGACTTTATTTCTAAACCATTAAGATGAAGGCAAATAAAATAGTAAAAATAATAAAGAAAGTAAACTAAATTCTAAGGGATTTTAGGGAATATTTAATGATAATCTAGTGTAACTAGAAAATTTTTTTTAATGCCATGATGGTGTATATTTGATTGTGTATTTGATAAAAGAGGTGGGCAGATTTTAGAAACGTAATTCATTTAGAATTTTTTTTAAAAAACTAAATCAGTAACTTTTACTTCTAATGAAGCTAATTTGTTAAGATTATCAAGAGATTAAAAAACCAATTCCACTCTTTCCTAGGTATGTGAGGTGAGCATTTGGCAAGGATATGAGACTTGATGAATAAAAATGACAT